GGAGTTTCCAAAACGTCTCTAAACATTTTCAGCAGTTTTCCTTTTCCTCTGGTCAGTCTCAGAGGCCAAGAGACAGTTTTCACAATAAAACAAAATGTGATTTTTTACAAATTGGGAGAGCAAAATGTGGCTGCACTGCTGCTAATTTGATTAAATTCTGTCACAACTGGTGTTCAGTGTTTGCAGCCCAGTGAGATTCTGCATTCAGAGCTTTGTACGGCTGAAGTCCACATTTTAAAAACATTAGATGTGCATCAAACCTTGCAATAAGCTTTAAATAGAACAAAAAGTGAAAAAGATGTTTTATTCTACAAAATTAATTAAAATAATGTGTTTAATATTTATTACCTTAGCAATGATTATTCTTCAGGGCCGCACATAAATACTTCATATTAACAAGAACATCACAATGACAAAACAATAAAATTATTAATACAATCAATCATACAAATAGTACAAAAACAGCAAATGCAAGCAAAACAAATATCTATTAAACACAGAATATTAAGATTTTCTTCTGAAGAATAAATCCATAATAAATATAAAACCTGTTAATTCTACAACAATAAATATGGGAATGTTAGCAAATCCCTGTGAAGAATACAAAGTGTCGTGTAAAGAGTTAAATGAGCAGAGTGTGTTTGGCTGCAGGTGTTGACCATTAAGACAGTGAAGCAGATGGATGAACTGGTGGATATGGGCGACAGCGCTGCCTGGCATGAGAAATGGAGGACAAAGCTTTCTGCTCTTTTCCATCAGGTGATGAAGCCACAAGTTTCATTTTCTATTTCAATGAATCTTTATTCAGATACATTTTCAGTTCAGATGAAACAAGAGAAAAAAGGTCAAATAAATCAGCTCGCTGTGAGTGTTTGACATGTTGTCTCTTGTTTATCTGCGTCTCACTTTGGCTTTGTTTACTTCTCTCCTCTGAAAACAAACTGTCTGTTTCCAGCAGACAGTTTGTTTTCTGACAGAACATTATTGCTTTTTTCTCTTCTCTGTCTTTCTGTTTTCTTTTAGGTGTGGAATAATTTCCAAACAGTTTTCTCTCCTGAGTACCGCCGCACCACCTACATGATGATGGCCGTGTGGTTCTCCATGTCCTTCAGGTAGGATCAGCTCAAAAACCAATGCAGCAACCAGGATTTAAAATCCAGCTCAGCCTCATTTATGAGTCTAGAATAAAATTAAATAAAGTGTTGAGGAGAAAGTTTTCATCACATCTACATCATCTCCTCTGGTTTCCAGTTTAAACAACTAATAACCTGACTCCCTTCTAAGGTGTTGAAATGTATGGAGCCCATACAGGGACATGGAGATAAAAAAACAGATCCTGACTTACTTTTGAAAAATCCTGAAATAACATTTTCAGGATCCTGAGAGACCTTTGCAGGATCCTGAGAGACCTTTGCAGGATCCTGAGAGACCTTTGCAGGATCCTGAGAGACCTTTGCAGGATCCTGAGAAACCTTTACAGCAGAGGTGTCAAACTCCAGTCCTCGAGGGCCACTATCCTGCATGTTTTAGAGGTTTTCCAGCTCCAACACACCTGATTCAGTGATTGAATTAACTCTTCAAGTTGTGCATCATCATCATCCTCATCATCGTTTATTTATAAAGCACAATAAAAACCAAAGTGCTGTACAGGAGCGTAAAA